AACCTGCGCGCGCTGTAACGGTCGATGAGACATGTCGAGCCCCGAAAAGCCATTGGCAGTTTTCCCTTATCCTCTTCTCACCATCTGCCCTCCCGAAAAAAAAAAAAAAAAAAAAAAGCCAGTCGCAGCCCCTACACCCAAGACAGAAGTGGGCCCCAACCTGGGTCCCCAGGGTGTGCGTTAAGTTCCATCCCGGGAATTCACCCTCCTTGGCCGTTGCCCTCGACTCTCGGCCACCACCCGCCCTGGCCACGCATCAAAAAGGCAGGCGTTTCTCTAGAAACTCAAGCAAGGTCCATGAGAAGACAAAAACAGCTCGTTAGAGCAACTTGAGCAAAGCCACTCATTCAGGTGTTGTAGCATATACCTTAAAACAGCTCCCGCCCGCCCGCCCCCCCCCAAGGGTTTTCGCCACTCATTCCCCTCCAGCTCCACATTCTGGATTTAGTTGTTCCTCTAAAACCAGGCTTGAGCTAACGGGAACTAGATTAACCCAAAAAGAAAATAATGTGCTTACTTGCTGGAAGTTGCTGGAGAGCACCCTGAAGAGCGGCTATCAGCGACGCCTCCTCGATCACGCTCCTCCGGGTTGGAACTGGTTGGAACCGGTTGGAACCGGTTGGAACTGGTTGGACCTGCTACGTAAGCGGAAGTCTCACCTAGAAAGTGGGAGGGGCATAACACAACCGACGAATCTCTCCGCACAAAAATAGTCTACGAATCTTTCCGCACAAAACTTAGCAAATAAAAACCAGAGAAAATCGTCCTATCCCTCGTTGTGAGGTTGGGTATTAGCAGATTTAAAACTTTTTGTTTGAAATACAATGTGCTGTGTTAGCCAAAAGTAAACCATTGGCAGGCCTTCTCTCTCTCCAATTCTTTCAAAAGCTGGATATAGGCATCCGTAATCGTCTTAACTTAGTGTACAGGGCATGATGTGTTTTTAAAATCATAATTCAGAAATTGGAGCCTAAAACTTTTTTTAAAAAAAACACGGAATATAGCCATTTAATACAATGCGTAATGAAATTATTGTCATATGCAACTTTTGCAATATTATGAAAGATCCAAATTAAAGTGTTTTTATTGTACCTAAACATTGGCGAATGGCACAGTATCAGATTGCTCAGATTGTTCTTGAATTCTTTAAGAATGAATGAATAAATGTTAATGTAAAATTCAAGGAAACTATAAGGTAAAAATAGAAAAACTAGGCCATTAATATACGAATATTAAAGAGATTTGGTCGTATCATGTATATAATATATATCATCACATAGGAGGGCATGTTGAAGTGCTCTAAGATGAAGGTGCAAAAATGTTTTTAAAAGCCAGAAAGCTATCTTTAGCAGAAAGGAATTAAACGGGTTCAAGCTAAGCAAACCCTTAGTATGGGTTACAGCAGAGCTGGGGGAAGGGGACTTAAATTATTAATTACTGGCCACTGTCTTTTTAATCCTGATGCAGTGGAAATATTTTAAATTCATCTCTACATTCGCTATATGAAAGATTTGGGTTTTCATTTATGCCTCTTTTACATGTATGGATCTTTTATGAAGTTGTAAAAATATTGCTCTGATTGTTAAATTGCATCTCATGGATGCCTCATCTTCTTCCTATATTTCTGTTTTTAACATGAAATTACTGAAGCCCTTACTCTAAAAGTGTAATTCGCATTATTTATATTAGAACATCTTAATGACTATATTCACCAAAGCATTTGTAGAAGTATGACTTTTTTGTATTGGATGTTATTGACAATTACAGCTACCCTCTATTGAGCACCTACAGTGTGCTGAGAATCATGCTAACCTCTTTAGATACATAATTTTAAATATTCATAATGTTCTTTCATAAAGTTCATATGAGGTAGGTACCCTTTTCCCATTTTACAGATAAGGAAATTGAATATTGCATAGCAAATACGTGGCAGAATCAGCTTCTGAACATATACTCGAACCTTCCCTTATTACCCTTCCACTTTGTCATCAATTGTATGCTTCCATCAGACTATGTATATTAACATTCAATAATAATTATTTCATTTACTTACATCCTTTATTTCCTTTTTCCCCTTTGACAAAATAAACTTGAGACCGCTTCTTAATGATGTTAGCATAGGTCAGGACATCACTGTTTCTTTTACATCATATGGTAGCACCTTGCACATAGTAGGAATTTGGTAAATATTTGTTGAATGAGTGAATGAATGACTGAATATCTCCTATTATGACGTTCAATTAATTTTGCCTAGACAACCTGAAAATAAGAAGATTATTTGAACTGAAAGAATAAGAACCAATGAGGGTAAAATCTAAGTTTTCATGATTATTTTTCAAGCCTCAGATTTGCTTCTGTTGATCTGCTTCTGTAGGTCTCCTGACTCAGCCCAAAACCTGTGACAACCTTAAAGAAGACCCATCATCCCCACCCAGCCCAAATCCAATGCAAAATACTCCTGTATTTCAAGTGTGTTTGATTACTTCCTTTTGTGCCTTTCTTTACAATTTCATATTATTGTACATCAGAATGAAAAGGTGACTTTCTTTCCTAGATAAGCAAATTGAACCTAGATTCCCATCAGCACACATGTTTATATTGAAACAATATTATTTGCACAGGTAAAGTTAACATTTTAGGATGAGTATCCCTTTAGTTTTCCCACTTCATGCTCTCCTTTCTCCTGAAAACATCGATGCCTAACTAAGCCTGACAAGAGACTAGAGATCCAAGGTATTCCTGGTAAACTTTTCACCTTAATGAAAATATCCATATAGTAGGTATTACACAACTGATAAATTAATTTAAATAGTACCTGAATTTACAAACATCTTCAGATCTTGATTCTAACAAATTGCCCCATTAAGCCAAGAGCACATATCAGTAAGATACTCATAATTTTTTTTTAGTATTGTTATTGTTGGCTACAATAAACCTCTTTTCCTAACTGCAAAATGGTAGCTTCCTTGGAAAAATATCAAGAGGAAAAATATCAAGTCTGTGATATGAAGAGAGAGACGTTAGTCTAACAGAAAACTATGTCTTGTCAAAGATCACGGCTGCATCAGGTGGTCTGAGCTCTTGTCTTGAATCCCAAGTCTATCATCCACTAACTAAATTTCTTTATAATCTTTCCATATCTCATCTTTCTTTCATTTTAATAATAGGGATAATAAAATCTGCCACATTTACTTCACAGATGCAAAAATGCTACTCGAGTCTATCCGAAAACCACATGGTCTTTGCTTAATGGATCCCCACACTTCTTTAAAAATATTTTTTAAAACATTAAAACATTTTAAAAAATAAAATAAAAATATATAAATGAGTCTTTTACCAACAAAATGTCTGAGATCTAAGCTGACTTTGGCCAAGTCAAGTATTTTATATGCTGTGAAAACTGGCATAACCTCAATGAACATTATATACGACACTTGGACATTATTACATTCACTCAGTTCTCTTAACACCAAACATTTATTGAATGCTTGTTGTATGCAGCTTTGCTAGAGGTGGGGATATCAAGATGAATAAGACATTGAACACTCCAGGAATTTACACCCAGTCCAAAGTGAGGTGAGGGGGTAAGATTTTCAAAAGAACTAGGATCATTTATCACACCCTTCATCATATCAAACATTTAATATTGTTTAACTAGATGAATGGAATTGCAGCAGACCGGTCGACATAATCTCCTGTGGACATTTATAAATAAACGTTTATTAATTTTGATTTTGCACTTT